CTAAAATAGACTATGGTCCCAAGCACAATGTATATATGAAGACTACTTTAGAATTTTATGCCGTTGTGGTACGACAAAATTGTGACAAACCGTACGCAAAGCACAAACATTCTCGCGGCAGGAAAATATGACTACGGGGAAAAGTTGTTCGCGGAAAATATTTGTTATGTTCACGAGTTTCAAGTCTTATAATAAACTGAATGCTGAAGAATTTTAGGCGGATATTGTAACGGGATAGGCTTAAATTAAATTGAATATTTTCAAAATATTCAATAATTATATATACTTTACTTCCTTGTCTCAAAAGTCATAAAGGTTATCAAACGTTCCAAACCACTAATAACCTCGGAAAAAAAACAATTTAATAATTTTGTATAATGAGGTGGACTCGGTAGTAGATGGCAGATTCAACGACGACGCGCCGATAAATTTCATTACAAGCTGACTTAACCTTTTGTCATCTCGTCTTCTGATGATAGGAAATGGAAGATTCCTAACATTCCTAAAAATAAACCTAAATAAGTTATACCTATCAATATAATATCCAGTACATGATTCTAAAAATCATTATAATCCCAATCCTAATATCATTTTTAATTACTGTAAATTAATAATATTCTTGGTTACAGAATGATCTTATGATGTTTTTTTTTTGCAGGGACTGGCGACGACATAAAACTCCACCACTAAGCATTATATTTGGTAGCCTCATTTACATGGCTGTCTCGGGATATATAATCTCACGTGGAGACTGTATTATTCTTCAGCAACAATTTCTGAAGGTACTTTATTCAGAAATAATAGTGAAATGATAAGTGACAGAATTTAAGTATTCGTTCCAACGCGCGCGCACGGTAGCATTCACGTTAAAATTTCAGCAAGAAGCCATAATGTGTTTCTACGTACGTTTTCAACTTTTTAAAATTTCCTTCTATTAATTCATCGTTATAATTACTTGAACTAGTTATACAGCTTCCATGAAATATAGGTTGAATGCTGGTTCACACATAATTTCGTATTTAATTAATTAAATAATTAATGTCTAAATTAATTTAATAAGTAATGAAATACATTTATCACTACATCATTCCATGTTATCGTTATCTATCGAGCCATAGCAAAACAAAATATGTTGAAGCAAAGGCATACAAAAGATCCGTCATCAATTATTTTTCAACTGCTAACCATTAACAAATTACTAGTTTCGTCACTACTAAGGTTTTATTATAACCTCCTCCTAAATTTGTAACATGTGTAGGCCGTTGGCCTTGGCTTACTATGTACATATAAATAATTTTAATTTGCAATATGATATGCGTATCTGCTATGTTATTTGCTATATGCTATTCGTGTATCATTTATGCACGAATATATGATATTCGTGTTTGCTAATAACATTTTATTAGTTCTATTATAGTCTACATGAAAATAACTTCAGTATAACATATTCAGGTACATGCAACAACTTTCCACTCTGGATGTCTCCTGAACACCTCCAATGCCTTCTACTACCAGAACCTGTCCATCAATGAGTGTTCACGGCAGTGCTTGAATACACAATCTTGTCTCTTATTTTGCTTCGACGTCAGTGAGTAGAGAACCTACTATGAAAACAAATCGTAGAAGATTTTTCATCAAATATTTTAATTATTTTTAGACTTTACAAGTCGCTTAAACTTTGGTAATAATATGAAATATATTTTTTCGAATTGTGGTCTCGTTTCCTGTCAGCTAATATATGTTATTTCAAATTACCTGCTTTTTTTGGTTGAATATTCCGTTAATAAGTTGCCAGCACTATCAAATTTTTCTATCAATAACATCGAATAACCATATCGCTGCTAGCCTAGAGCAAATAAATTTTCTAGACGCTTCTGCATATGTTTCATCAATAAATAAATAAACCACACGATAACTTGCTGGCCTTAGTTAAGAAAGGGTTCACGCATGTAGATGTACTCGTATGGTCATTTTCACTTTACTTATTTTATAACAATCGCTTCATTGTTGGATAAAAAACATTGAGCTACACTCGATATGAGATCCTCAAAAAATTTCACAAATTCTATCTTTGACGGCTGCATAAACAATTTTATTTCCCGTTACTCTACCACCAGCCACGAAAAAGTGCGATCTTCTGTCTTGCTTCGTGTCGCTCCTGTTCCCTGGCGTGCCGAAGTTTCACTGTTATAGTTAGGAACTAATGGCTAGGCAACCCTAATAAAGATAAGCTAATGTTGGCCATTGAAGTCTGGGGGTGGCAGCTTATAGAAGCAGTCCAGGTTACTAAGCTATATTTTTAACGAGAAAAAAATAGCCTCGAAATTTGCCATATAAATGGATCCAATAAAGCCCAACTAGTCAAAGGAGCATATATTCCGCTATGAAAGTACGGCTGTAGACTCAGAGGAAACTTAAAATTTTGTGTGGCTAAAATTAATAACAATATTTTATAGGGAGGCTAAATTTGATTGGGCCATTTTGGCTTGTCGCCCATTCTTAACCACCGGTTAACTCACTAGATATGAGCTGAATTTTAACATCTACAAGCTGTATTGCGAGCTTTGAATTTCTAACTTTCTGCGTCTGTCTATGTAATAATAAATAATTGTTTTAAAATTTAATTTATATGTAAAATCGCACTATAAAGGGTCAAACATTTGTTTGCGACAAGTCGAATATTTTCAATTGCGTGTTACATTCCTAGTCAGGTCCCCATTAGAAGTTAAAATTAATATCTCAATCGTTGTTAGATTTCCTATATGAGCTGTTGAGTGATTGAAGCTAAACTTAATCAAAAAGCGTTTATCTCAGCGGAATTATGAAATTTTAATCTATACTACCATAATATCACTTCAACCTTTGAAGCAATTAATTTTTATCCTCTCAAATTATCACATAAGGTAAGTGCAGAAACTCAAATGTTTAGTGCCCTAGCTGCTTCTACTGGTTAATACAACGGGATGGCGAGTTGCAAATCACACACGACCTCTCAAGCAATGCCATACTTACCTTTGCTGGTAATATAATCAAACACAGTGAAAAATGTATTATTTGAATTAATATTAACCTTTCATATATATTTTTCGTGTTGTGATTTTATGTGCAATATCTTCTGAACTTACTGCCCTCTCAATGCACGTTGCATTTCTCCATAAACAAATTAAACTGATTAAAATCAAGTAATATTCCAACCACGATGCTCAATTAACTATTACCTAACTTTTGTGTGTCAGCACTATGCCACAATGAGTTTAATTCTCCTGAGATTTTGTTAACAATAATAAAAAAGAAATTTGCAGATTATTAATATAATTTTCAGGTATTTTAGCCCCGTTACCTTTGTAGAAGTGCATATTCTATTATAGTCCAATGCTGCGTGAAAGAAAGTTATTTTATTCAATTTTATCGTTATTCATGTTGTATTTGCTGGGTAACCTCGCGTTGACCTCGATCGACATTCCATGAAATTTTAGAATCCCGTTACTCTGAGTGTCAGCACTATGCTCACAATGAGTTTCATTCACCTGATATTTTGTTAACAATAATAAAAAAGAACTTTGCAGATTATTAATAAAATTTCCAGGTATTTTAGCCCGTTAACTTTGTAGAAGTGCATATTGTATTAGTCAAATGTTGTGTGAAGGAAATGAATTTTATTCAATTAATTCGTTATTCATATTATATTTGCTGAATAACCCCGCGTTGGCCTGGATCGTCATTACATGAAATTTTAGAATTCCGTTACCTTGAATACAACCATCCAGAATCTAGTCTTCTTGAATCTTGTCATCACGGATCAAATAAATAGTTTTCATTCTATGAAAACTATAGCTCGTTAATTAGACAACCGCCGATTTCAACCTTTATTTCGCATACAACATCCATTTAACTGTCTGTTTGACATTCAAGGGATGTTAAGGTTTTTATTTGGAATAAAATTTACACGTTACCGAGTGAAACTCAATCATTCCCAGGAAAAAAAACCTCAATTTTGTAATTTCTCCCATTCCCAGCCTAAAATATCTTATAATTCCTGAAAAATGAATAATTTTTTAGAGCCAGTGAAACCATACAATGGCAGAATTGTTGTGTGTACCCAAATAAATCTACGCACTATCACAAATTTTTAATAGATGTTGCAATATTTCTTCGTGTCAGAGTGTGGCGAGCTGAGCACTATACATGTTTGCATGAAGTGGCCGTTTGAGCATTTATTCATAATCATTATCGAATAGGCAATTGCAGTAATCTGGACCTAAATTTTCTTATACCATTCGTTGCATTGTAAATCGGTTAGAAGTGCAACTTAAAATATATCATTTCGTGTATAATTAAGCATTTTTCCTATTTTATTAAAATATTACAGATATAGGTATTCAAGTAGTTTTTGAATTATATACCACATAAATAAAAAAAAGTTTGAAAATCACTATCTCGAATTTCAGGACTATATATCGGGAGCCACTACGGGTTGACATGCAAGTGACAGATTTGATTTTTATCCTCGAATTTAATTGTCTTGAAATTTTCTTGATGATCCGTTCAACTATGAACGAGCACTGAGTTGGTTGATATTTCCTGCATTTGATAAAATTATAAATTAGTTCATTGTGTCATATTCATATTGAGAAATAATGAATTTGTGGAAACCGAGGGCAATTTACTAGGCATGTATTTTATGTAAGGACCGTTTTGGAATTAAAAAAAGAGGTGCAAAGATATAGTAATAACTTTATTTTTACATGAAAGCCAGTACCTTAATCTACTTTTCTACATAATTTCTGTGAATATCGAGGAACTTGTCATAACGTGGCACCAGTTTTTGAATACCCTCCTGATAAAATTCTGCCGCCTGACTTGGAGGTGAAATTCTGCTGAAATTCTGAATTCTGCTGAAATGTAGGAGGAATTCTGCTGAAAAACGCCTGAAATTCTGCCTCCTGACTCGTCAGGAAAATGAAATTTCAGGCGTATTTCAGCAGAATTTCACCTACATTTCAGCAGAATTCATAACTTCAGCAGAATTACCTTAGTGCCTTAATATTCACGGAAATTATGTAGAAAAGTAAATTCAAGGTACAGGCTTTCTTGTACGAATAAAATTATTTCTCTTTCTTTGCTCATTTTTTTCAATTTTAAAACGGTCCTTACATAAAAAATATGCCTCGTATGTCATATATGAGGTACCTGTGAAATTTAAAATTGAACTCTAATTAGTGAATGTTCAGAAAACAGAATTTATTGTTAACCTTTGCATTCTACGCACAGTAAATAATTGATAAGATACACTCACGCCTTGCGTCTCGCTTGTCATGAATTTCTGTTGCCACTATGATTAGAAATTAACAACCTGTGTATTCTAAAGTTCTTTTTAAGACCAGATAAATGCGGCCTATTTTCAGAAGAGATAAATGAGAACGATTAATACAATCTCATCACATCTCTCAGGTTATTTCATCCTTAACTGAGTAACATTTACCTGGGTTGTTTAACAGCAGTCTTTGTTTATGGACCCTTCAGAGGGATAACGTAGAGTAGGTTTTACATCGAGGAAAGAAATGCAACAGGTTTCATACATAACATACTGTTATTTTACAAAAATAACTCCCTCTTTATATATTTATCAAAAATTTTTACAGTCGGTACCAATGATCTAGAGTTAGGTGTGTAGACTCCTTTAATTTGGCATATGGCTCCGGGTCTATGTCGATTGAGTCTCGATTGGTCAACTTGTCATGGTTGGTGTGCATCTCATGCCATCTTTATATTGCTTTGTTTACTTGTATATGCTCTCCCTTGGTAATATTTTCTTAGCGTTTTCTTAAGCAACGCAAGCGATCAGGAGCAACAAGCTTCTTTGGCGCAGGAATGGAGACGAATTGCTTTCGTTGGAGAATTTCAGTTGGACCTCCGTTTTTACTTGTATAGATAAAGGTACGGGTTTACATCCCTGAATCTCATTAAAAACTTTAAACAGCCAGATTTGGTAACGTTGACGTGCATGAATTTTAAAGTCAACGAAGGTGCATGAATGAGGGTGCGAAGGTGCATGATACACGAAGGTGCATGAGGGTGCGAAGGTGCATGATACACGAAGTCAACGAAGGTGCATGATAAAGAAGGTGCATGAATTTTTTCATAAGTATGCTGCTATTGTAGATGAGAATTCCTACTACTCTGACAGGAAAGGAACAAGGATAACGGCATTCATCACAAGATCCTTTGCTGGCTACATTTTCATAGCTAGTACTTGGTGCCTTCTCGCTACGTAAGGAAAGCTTAATTGAGAAATCAGAAATTGTTTAAAGTCATCAATGCTACCACCCCAGAATGTTGTCGAAATGGGGACACGTTCGATGCATTATCAGGTAAGGGGAATCACTCACACAACTAAAATAAATAAATAAATAAATAAATAGATTAACAAAAGACACAAGATCGTTTCAGTTTTTCGATTTGACTAGAATTGACTAATTCTCACGAGGAGCACGGAGGATCTCGATTGATACCAGCAGAAAATTTTTTAGAGAAGATGTGACTGGAAAAGGACAAATTCCTGCCACTGAGATTCAGCTCGTGTGTGACTCGAGAAATACGTTCGACGATTCATGTAAGAACTAACGTGGTAGATTCAATAATGTTTGCAGGACTCTTTTATCACGGCAGCTGTTATGAATAACAAAATATTGACCAAGTTTTACTAAATTTCGTGTTATACGTATTATAAATTTTCATCAGCAGTTTCAAAATCTCTATGAAAATTTAGTGCCTTGTTTCCATGCGACTTCAACTATTTTATATAATTTTACTGATGTCGTACTGGAATGGTCGGGATGCCTATATCGTTCATGTAAAAGATTCTCATTATATGCACAAGATGGTGCAACAGAGTATTTTAATTCAATCCTTAAGAAATTTAATAATCTCAAAGCGTCAAAAAAGCTTTTTTTGCAATAAATTAAAGATATGATAGACATTTTTAATTTTAAATAAGGTATATTGTAGCTGTATGGTGTTGACGGAATTCAGAGCATTGTTTCCATATTCTCTATTGAAGTCCATGCTCGCGCTATAGACCTACATGTTATTTAATAAACATGTTTCGTAGTGCGACAAACTTGAGGACTAATTTCCATCCTGGGCGAGCTTCAGCTCATCAAGAAAC